GTTTATATTGTTAGAAACATTCTAATTATTGTTTATATTGTTAGAAACATTCTAATTATTGTTTATATTGTTAGAAACATTCTAATTATTGTTTATATTGTTAGAAACATTCTGAGTATTGTTCATATTGTTAGAAACATCCTGATTATTGTTTATATTGTTAGAAACATCCTGATTATTATTTATATTGTTAGAAACATCCTGATTATTGTTTATATTGTTAGAAACATTCTGATTTAGAAACGTTAGAAACATTATTAAAAACATCCTGATTATTATTTCTACAGTTACACACTCTGAACCTACAAATATTGTGATTATTTTTTATGTATTATAATTATCTTCGACAAGGTTAAAAGGGCGTTGTACTACCATTAGTGTAATTTCAAGATATTAATTACATCGATCCTGCAGATATTAGAGAAGTAATTCTAAATTAAGCTACCGAAATTATTAAGAAGCTTCTGATAGGAAAGGAAAACGCAATTCCAATGTGGAAATCTGAAATTAGGAAGTTCGATCGTACGAGAAATAAACCAACGTAACTCACTGACAGTCCACAGTAGATTGTCCACAAGAACATAATCCGAGATATAACGATACACTTGTGAGAAATAACAAGCCTAGAGTTGATAACGTATGAGAGTGGAAGGTGAAACTTCACTGTTCAAGGTCGACTCGGAACGGGTAATCTTGAAGGGGGTAATCGAAGAAGATGAGATGTCTTAAATCGCTTACTATAATTATATCTGAATTTACGAATTGGCAGATGAGTTGAAAAAAGAAAGAAAGATATAATAACTATTGAGTGTGAAATGATAAATAACTAAATGAAATGAAATAGTGGAATACAGAAGAGAAAATGAAGGAAATGTTAGTAGGAATGCTAAGAATAAAAACCGAAGTAATGATTGTTCATTGTGAATTTCGCGCAAAGCTACACGAGGGCTCTCTGCGCTAGCCGTCCCTAATTTAGCAGTGTAAGACTAAAGGGAAGGCAGCTAGTCATCATCACCCACCGCCAACTCTTGGGTTACTCTTTTACCAACGAATAGAGGGATTGACCGTCACATTATAACATTATTTTGAAGTTATAGAAACTATATTTGTAATTATAAGACATTCTCAAAAATTCGTGTTTGTGTAAAAGGTTTGATTTATAAATTTCTTAGCATAATAACCAAAGATCAGAGTGTTATTATCATTATTATCAGAGTGTCATATTGTTGCGTCAGCGAGGTCACGCCCCCTGCTTTCTGGAAATATCTTGTACCTTCGTGAATTGTCGGGAGATTACTAGATATAGGGTAGTCTGGTATATATAAGAGGGTGACAACGTGACGGGATAATAATGTGTGTGTAAGTAATGAGTAATTGAACTGCAGCCAGAGAGAGACGTATTGTTGAAGTTTAGCTCGTGATACGTGAATTATAGTTTGTTATAGCGCAACTGTTGAAGTTGAGTGTATCGGTAAAGTTATATTCAGAAAGAATAAACCAGTTTTATTTAAGAAAGGACTTGTGTCACTAAAGTTTCGTCGGAACTAAGTTACGGAAAATTAATTAACAAACGGAGACGTAACAATATCATTAATTAGTCATGTGACGTTCTCGTCACATGACTAATTAATGATATGACTGTATTATATAACAATTGTAAAAAATGACGAGAACGTCACATGACTAATCATCGACGTTAAAATCAAATCGTATTAAAAATAACGGATATTTTGGTGTTTCAAATACACCAAGCAGTCCAACTGTGTTCACCAACAAAGAAAGTTCCTGATTCTGATACTCGTATTAAAACCAAACACGTGATAAAGTGTTTCGGTTAATTACTATGTGATCTCTTGAATTTGATTCTAAACATGGATGGGGAATCTCACTTTTAAATAGTATGGGGAAATTTTAAACAATTATATTAAATTAGAGATTAAATCAGTGTGGAGAAATATATGGGAAATTCCATGAAGAACAATCAGGGTGTTGCGTCAGCGAGGTCACGTGACTATTGTCACGCCACCTATTTTCTAGAAATATCCTGTTCCTTTATTTATATGGAAAAATCTATATTGGCTTTAACCACGTTTTAACTTTAGAATATGTGGAGAATATATATCAACCAGAAAGCATAGGAGGTTTTGTGCATTCATCGATTTTACTAAAACATTCGAATCTATATCTCTGTTGTGGAACAGATTAATAAAGACTAGAGTAAATGGTAAAATATTAAATGATCTATAATATATGAATAAAAAATATGAAATTTTGTGTCCGAACAAAAGATGGATTAACACCCTATTTGTGCTTGTAAAACGGAGACAAGACAAGGATGAATGGTGAGCTCGTTTGTGTTTATATGCGAGATCTCATTAAGCAAAGATGATTGAAGTATTTATGCTAATACTGACATTAGGTCTACCTCGTCCTTATTTTATGTAACATTATGTAGCAATACCCTTGATAAATTACCAGAAACGTTTGAATGTCCTAGATCAAATATGGGACACCTGTTTTAAAGTATGATACTAAAAATTTAAAACTATACTTTTTTTTTTAGGAAAGGGGGATAAATAACAAGTAAATGTAATATAGAAAATTGTTTATAAAATAGCACAAGTAGTATGAATGTAGATACTTAGGGATAGTATTAGTCCTATACCAAAGTAAGCATATAATATCTGTCATTACAATAATAAAAAGACATAAATCTTGAGAGATGTTTGGAATACAAAATAAATGGATTACCCTTTAAATTAACGTGTGAAATGTTGGATAAATCAACTAGGCCTACACTAAATTATAGGGTGGACATTTGGGGTTAAATGCATTACAGGGTGATGAAGATGCGTCAGATAAAAGTAACAAAATAAAACGTAAGGTGGGAGTTTGTAAATACTGCTGATATAAGAAATTGTGGCAGTCTACAACTAGCAGAATTTATAAAACATAATGTATTAAATTTTCATTTGAAATATTAAAGATGCCACGATGCCAAAAGTTGGATATCTGATGACACAAATCTGTAAATGAATCCAAAAGAAATTCTTGGTATCTAATATTTGAAATTCATTTTGTCTATAGATTACTGAGGATGTAGATAATGAAAGTCAGTTTTGAAATTAATTTAAAGAAAGAGTGGGAAATATGTAAGACCAAGAATGACATGTAGGTTTGAACATTTATCATAAACTAAAACAAATATTATAGTGTGAATTATATTTAAAAAATATATTATAGTGTGAATTATATTTAAAAAAGATATAATAGTGTGAATTATATTCTAAAAAAATATTATAGTGTGAATTATATTTAAAAAATATTATAGCGTGAATTATATTTTAAAAAAATATTATAGTGTGAATTATATTTAAGCACTCAGAAATATTTATCAATGAATGGTCATTTGTATTCATTACATTACAAATTTCACCGTATAATTGAGAATAAGTAATTAGAAGATCAAATAGATGATCCTGAAAGATATTGTTTAATTAGCGATCAGTTTCATTGAAAATGTAAATTACATACCTTACGGAACTTCCCATAATTCAAAGAATTGAAAGAAAAATTACTTCCGAGGAATAAATAGTAGGCCAAGTATATGTAACTTTCATAACCAAACGAAAATAAAAAATAAACTATTATAAAAAAGTATATGTGTAATCAATATATTAAGTGTCAAAAGGCAGAGTATTTGTATAAAATATCCTAATAGATAACTTTATTTCAATTTATAATACAATTGTTTATGTTTTATATGGATGGGTCAATGGCTTTTACTCAACTTGATGTAAGATTACGTTACTTTAAAAAGCCCCTATAGTCATAAATATCCTGAATATTGTATACAGAGTTAGAAACATCATGAACATTGCTTATCTAGTAAGAATCCTTCTACACATTATTTATACCCGATCCAAACCAAACCCTAATGGCACCAAGCAACAAAAGATGTATCATCATTGATATATATTTCGGTTACAACAGTTAAATGGACATAACCAAACACAGGTCAAAGTTATCGTTAAATCAATTCTAATTACGTTCTGTTTCTCGTATGTCCCACCAATAAATGTGCTGGAATACGTTTTCTTAACAGGACTTTGCAATGATTCATAATTTATAAGTAAGCTAACATATGTCTAACTTTGTGTTTAGGTCTTGGTGCCAACAGTCTGTTTGCATTCTTATCTTGCTGTGCTCAACTTGGGGATCAGCCCAATGGTTTCTTCTGTGGAAGACATCTTTGACAGGGTATCTCTTCGCTGTTCTCAACAGTCTTCAGGGTATCGTGATATTCATTGAGTTTTGTCTCAGGAGTTCTAAGGTATGTCTGAGTCGTTTTTGTTTAATTTTATATGTCTTGAGTGGTTAACTCTATCCTGCACACATTAGGTGAAGACTCTGTTCCCATCCGGAATCAACTACAATAATTGCATTTGACAGTTACACTTATAACACACCAACGGCTAGAAAGTGCGGAGCACAATTTTTTTATGGCAACAGGACACGGACATTTGATCTTCAGATTCACAGTCCTGGCATGCAAATTACAAAAAATGCCCGGCTCCATATAAGAAGATTGCAACTAACCATATAAACAAGACCATGGACAACCCTTTAATACTAACCATATAAACAAGACCATAAACAACCCTTTAATACTAACCATATAAACAAGACCATGAACAACCCTTTAATACTAACCATATAAACAGGATCATGAACAACCCTTTAATACTAACCATATAAACAAAACCATGAACAACCCTTTAATACTAACCATATAAACAGGACCATGAACAACCCTTTAATATAACCAGATAAACAGAACCATGAACAACCCTTTAATACTAACCATATAAACAAGACCATGAACAACCCTTTAATAGTAACCATATAAACAAGGCCATGAACAACCCTTTAATAACGTCTGATCAAATATTTGACCGAAACCCTTTAAATAAAAGATTAATTTGGAATGAAATCGCAAAGTAATGGAAAAGGTAACGATGCCAGTAGGGTATTCTTAGTTATGGAACAGATAATGAATACCAATGAGCTGGCATAAATCAAAATGAATTTATGTCTTGTTTTTTTAGCATATGCCTAAAAGACGAATGAAAATTAAATAGCGTTATGCCATTTCGAACTTAACCAAAGACCAAACATGGTAAAAACCGAGATTTCTTAAATTGTAACCCAAAACCTCTTGCTGTTAGAAAACTAAAACCGAGACAAGACGTGTCTAATGAAGACAACCGTGAAGTTTTGAAACGAAGTACAGACTGAAGAGCTCGCATAAATATAAAACATAGTTTATCTTTATGAGAGACAAAAAAAATTCATTTTCACTCATTTGTCGAAGTTCGAATTTTGACCTAATTCCTGGAATGTCAGGCTGCTTATTAAAAGAGTCCGGGGCATAACCTGCTGTTCAGTTCGAAGATACCAATCTCAAGCAATGGCTCCATGACTGACTACATCTGGATTTTATTTTATTATCTTATACAAGACTGCTTCTAGTTGTCAATGTTGAAAATACACATCAAATGTATCTGGATTATTGCACATCCATTGAAAACACTGCGTTTGAATAATCTGGTTCGATAATGCTAAATCACTTTGACGTTTACGTACACATATATCATATTCGTGTTTCCCAAGAAGGTAAACTTATACTACATGTAGATATTATAAAAAGAAGACACTACAGTATTCACTCTCTTACAGTTGTTACGAATCTCTGAAATACGCTTGATATATATATATATATATGTGTGTGTGTGTGTGTGTATATATATATATACCGCGTATATATTACACACCAATTCTCAGTTTCAGTTAATAGGGGGCAGTAACTGTCTGGTTTTTAATATAACACTAAATGTTATCTGTGGTTTTGGGCTTTTAAGATACAGACTATCAGTATGTATTAAGATTAATTAATTGAGACTATATTGTATTTTAAGGATAAAGAAAAAACAATATTGATAGTAACTATTCATTAGCTCTAAGAATAAATTTCTAGCTTTGGTGTTCGATGATTTGTTTTAGACCAAAGCCACATCGAGCTATCTACTCTGTCCACCGCGGATAATCGAACCCCCAGATTTTAGCATTGTAAGTCCGTAAACTTACCGCTGTCCCACCGGGAGATTAACTGTTGGATTTCTGTAAATAGAATCGTCCGTGTTTATTCGTAACATGAGTTTTTTTGATCAATAAAACTACGTCACACACTTCTATATCCAATCAAAAGAATAGAGAATAGACTGTAAATAATTATGTGATGCGGGTAATCAGTGGTTCATTTCCGCCACACAACAGTCCCGTAAAAAGAGGTTGTTGTTTTTTTCTTCATTGTAATCAGTTGACTTTGCTGATTGGTTGTGTTATTTTTCAGAAAATACCATTTTAAGAACAACAAAAAACAAAACAGTTATTATTTTTTCTTTTCATAATACACGTGCTAGGTCTCAATATATAATTACTGTACTTATAAATATGTAACTACTGTGACAAAATACTGTATTTTTACAAGATCCAATTGGGTAATGGTAGACTCTACCTGTGACGTCAGAGTTGGACAAGGGGGAAGATAACACTAGTCTGGTGGTTTTCAATCAAAACCCATCACAATAACAATAATAGTTCATTACAGTATAATCTTGTCATCATTTACATACATAATAAAATAATTAACATGACCAATATTTTGTGTCAGATTTAAGCAATTAAGTTATAGTCTCAAATTTAGAAGTCTTGGGAGTCATTAGCATAATCTGTTTCTTTTCAAATGTAACAAGGGCCATTTTGAAGTTTGTTTGTTTGTTTATTTGTTATGAATTTCGCGCAAAACTACACGAGGGCTATCTGCACTAGCCGTCCCTTATTTAGCAGTGTAATACTAGAGGGAAGGCAGCTAGTCATCACCACCCACCGCCAACTCTTGGGTTACTCTTTTACCAACGAATAGTGGGATTGACCGTCACATTATAACGCTCCCCACGGCTGAAAGGGGGAGCACGTTTGGTGTGACGGGGATTCGAACCCGCAGATTGCGAGTCGAGCGCCCTAACCACCTGCCCATGCCGGGCCCCATTTTGAAGTTATAGAAACTATATTTGTAATTATAAGACATTCTCAAAACTTCGTGTTTGTGTAAAAGATTTGATTTATAAATTTCTTAGCATATTAACCAAAGATCAGGGTGTTATTACTGCCTCACTAAAATATAACTCAATATTTTAC